ATGTCTTCCTTCCCGTGAAGGACACCTCGTCGCCCGGCTCTGGCAGTAGTTCTGTGTGACGTCCTCCGGGGCGCTCGCTCCCGGTTTGTGAACCAAAGGCATCTTAGTTTGCGCCCCCCCCTCCAAAAAATAGAAGTAGTGAGACCCATAAATGTAGCCATGAGGGATGTGGTGGCTCAGTGGCTAAGATGCTGAGCTTGTCGATCAGAAAGGCCGGCAGTTCGGCGGTTCGAATCCCAAGCGCCGCGTGACGGAATGAGCTCCCGTTCCTTGTCCCAGCTTCTGCCAACTTAGCAGTTTGAAAAGATGTTAAAAAAAATGCAAGTAGGAAAACAGGGACCCCTTTGGTGGGAAGGGAACAGCATTCTGTGCGCCTTTGGCCGTTGGGACGGTCGCTAAACAGATAGTTGAAAGTCAAGGACTACCTGTGACATTGTCAGAAGCAAGTCACTCGGGCCAAACTTCTCTTTTATTTAATTTGTGTTGAATTCGGCTGCCATTCGCAGCTGTATTTCTCCCCCCCACCTCCATGCAGTTCTTTAAATGTCCAACTTCCATTGTTCACCCACCCCCCCCAACATGACCCCCAAATATTCAGGTCTTCCTCTGCTGCTCCCATCCCGGTGGCGTCAGAGAAAACTGGCGTGCTGAAAGAGCCCGTTGTGTGTCACTGCTGTTGGCTGGGCAAGCGCCTCCCAAGCCTTTTTAAGAGTCGCAGAGGCCTTTGGAAAGAAAGTCAAGAGGCCAAGCTTGGTAGGCTGTGTCCAGGAAGATGGGGACAATTTTCTGTAAGCAATAAAAGATAAAGGAGTTTTAAGTCATGTCTGGCCGTTAGCTTTTTCCATGTATTTATTTTTTAAAATCAGAAAGAAAGAAAAAAAATAGTCCTTCTGCAATCTCTGTCTCCCTCTTGCAGGAGACAGAAGTTAAAATGTTGTTTTCCTGAGCATGGAGAAAGTTGCTTGTTTGCCTTCCAGACAGTCTCTTTCCCCGTTCAGCCTGAAGATGTTGGTCTCTCTCCTGACCCCGAATGCTTGTCCAATCAAAGAACAGGGCCTGTTCTTTATCTCTGGCTGAATGCCCTTCATGCTAGACTCTGCAGTCAAGAAGGAGAGCCCCACCAGGCGAGACCTGCGGAATCCAACAGTGGAAACCTTCCCAGATATAGGATTCCCAGAGAGGCAGGTGTTGGAAACCATCCAAAGCAGAGGCAATGAAGGAGGAGGAGGAAGAGGAGGAGGAGGAGGAGCGGTTTCACCATTTTCTGAGCCCGGCAGATGAAATCTAGCTGCTCTTTCTATTAGCACGGTGATCGTCCCCACCGAAGGGAACCACGGCGTGCTTTCTAAACCCGTCGGTTTTTCCCGGGACGAGACTGTCCATGGTTCACTTGCTAACAACGTTGGCTCAGCTGGTGTCTTATTAATTTGGAGGCAGGGTGAGCGGTGCTGTAATTAACCTCCAAGAAGCTTGTCTTAGCAGGGCTGGGGGAATTCTTGGACTTCATTAGATCAGTCAAGCCAAGACAGGAGCAAAATATTTCCCAGACTTTAGTCCTCAGGGGGGGTGGAAAGCTAACCAGGATGAGTAATTTGATGGCACCAGATCCTCTTTCTCACAACAGCGAGCAGCAGCGTAACAAAGCTCTTACAAACAGGAGGCAAGGAAGAGAGAGAGTGGTGTTTCCGACGGGATTGAGCCTTCGTTAATCTAAGGGGGTTCTTGACAAGGGAAGTCTTATGTAAAACCCCTCAACCCAACCCAACCCGAGAAACTGGCTTGGTTCTAGTTTGGCTTCCGCTGTCCAGAGTGACGGTAACGGGTTACATCACTTGTTTGGCACAATGCTGCCTGTTGGGAGGTCTGGCTGTGTGAGAGAGCCAGTTTGTTTCACACCCTTGTGAAATGTGCTTCTGCGGCTTGGGGAATGCTTTCAGGCAGCTTATTTAATGAAATTAGCCCATTTCCCCCCCCCAAAAAAAAATAATGGACTGGGATGCCCAGCAGGAGAAACCACAAAAAGCACACTCGGGCAAGATCTTTTGAAAAATGCAAGGTCTTTCTCTGTCCTTGGTTGAGCAAGACCCGGGAAGGCAGCTCAATTGAATCCCTCAGCACAAAGATGAGAAAAAGCAGATCAAATGCTTGTTGTGTTTCAAGAGAGAGCAACAGCTGGGTTTCCTTCCTCAGCAGCCAGACATCTGAATATTTGTAAGCCATTCGTAGTCAAGAATGAGTTGCTCTTCAGTGCTTTGTGGAGAAGAGCAGAACAGCGGAGTTCTGGATGCCAGGTGTGAAACGATGGCCTATCTCAGAGATAAGCTCAGTGAGCGACAATCTTATAGACAAGAGTTTGAGGACAGTCCTGTTGGAAGAGGTTGGTTTGGAAAAGAACAGGTGTCACGCCCCTGTCGGAATCTGATTCGGAGGGGGAGGCTGAGCAGCTGACAGGGAATGGGAGTGGGCTCCATTGGCTGTGGAAGAAACTGGGGGAGGGCACAGTCCGGGTGGGCAGAGCAGGGAAAAGGTAGAGCAAGGGAGAGAGAATTCAGAGGAAGACCCAGGCCCACCCCCTCTTCATCCTAGGGCACGCAGGGAGGAATGGAGAAGGGAGCAATGTGAGTTGCATGGCTTACGGGGGAGGAAAGGGCCCTGATTCCCTTCATTAGCTGCAGCTGGGAACAGAGCGTTTAAAAAGGAAAGTTGTGCACAGCAACATGTTGGGAACAAACATGAATTTCTCTGGTATCATCGTGGCTTATCTGGGTTCCTGGCGTCTTCCCAACTGTGTGTGTTTTGCTGGCCTTTCAAGTCTGCAATTCCTTCTCCTGCCCTGTCAAGTTAATTGCTGCAGTGTGATTTGTTTGGATTTTTAGTTACAGTTTGTACCTACTTTGTTTTCGGACTGAATTTCCTCCACTTAAAGGCTGTTCTTGCGAGAGGTTGTTCTCCAGCCGAAGGTAACCTGGACATTGGGGGCAAAGTTGGAGATAATAAAGGGACTCTTCTTGCTTATGTGACTGTGTTGCCTTTAGGTGGTGCAGAATACAGCGATAAAGATGGATCTGGTCTTGAGGAAAGAAATGGGAGAGGTGGAATCTTACCTGGTATCAGCCCAGCAACCGCAAGCAGCGTTGCTTTGCACAACGGGGAGAGATGAGAGAAAAGGAAGAGGTTATGGGTAGAGGGAGCTAAAGGATATTTTGCATTAAGCCGCACAGCTCAAGGTTCACAACTCCTTTGCATTTTTAGCAAAATGGAGGAGCAGTGCCAAAAGCAGAGCTGAACACATCTGGTCTGTTGACTTCTTGCTGACTTCCTGTTGTCAAATCCCTAAACTTAACTAAGGTCAAGGACTGACCTTCTGGTATTTGACAGCAGTGGGAAAAACGGATTTGTTTTTTAACCTAGCATTTGCCTTCCCTCCATCCCTCCGTCCCTCCCTCCTTCCTTGCCTGCCTTCCACTTCTTTCTCTGTCTTCTCCATCTTCCTTCCTTCACTTCTTTTCCTTCTTTCTTCCCTTCTCCCTCCTTCCCTCATCTGCCTTCCTCTATCTTCATCTTCCTTCTTTCTTCCTTCCTTCCCCTCCCTCCCTCATTCCTTCCTTCCTTCCTTCCTCGGTTTACAATGACATAAACAAAGCATCTGAGGGTCTAATTAAAAGCAGACATCATTTTTCAAGCTCTTGAAGGTTCCATC